TCCAACTTTTCACGGCAGCCAGAAAGAACATTCAACGCAAAAGGTAGCCAGTGTAAAAGGGCCGAGAAAACAGAAAGGAAAGGGGCGACAAACAAAATTGAGAATGGTTAACGGCAAAAAAAAAAAAATTCGCTAATGCGCATGCCTGGAATTGAAATTTTGCTCAATTTTGTACCTAATCCTCGAAAAATCTCTCCTTTTAGTAAAAAAAAGCTTTCTTAGCAAAACTTAGGCTTAGGCAAAGTTTGGTATTCAAAGGGTTAAGATAGATTATACAACATGCAGACATTTTTGCGGTAAGCAATGGTTAAATTCTAGTCATTCTAATCGTTAAATGCTAATTTAAGTGTGAATCACAGTTGAACGAAAATAAGTGGGGCGGTTAAGAAGTAGTCTAAGAGATGGGGGGCGAATCTACGTGGCAGTGAAGAAGAGGGGAGGGGAGAAGTGGCAAAACCATTGCTACATTCTTCTCCTTCCATCCCCTGCCTCTTGCTTTTTGACTTGGTTTAATTCCTCGCCCGCTTGTTGGTCTGCTTGTATACAATAAACTATAACTATTCCTCAATTTCTTTTATTTATTTTACAAAAGACGCTTCCTTTTCTGGCTAAGGCTTTCACTCAGGAAATCAGTGCCTCGATATTTACAGAGAAAATGAATTTCCATTAAGGTCTTCATTTCTTTCTCCCTGTAACCGTGATGGTAATCTTCCTCGACAAAAAGCACGCGGTTGGTGAATATAACTTTCCTTGGGGATGTTATGTGCCTGCTTCCACAGCCACCCAGCGGCATTTTAAAGCTGACATGCGTGGTGTTAACAAAGGACGGCTCGCAAACTGGATTATTGAGATGTATACGCATTCGTTCTGGGTTAAACCAGGGGTACTTAGCGCGGTCCAAGGTGACAGAGGTAAACTGTGAACCGCACTCAATTTCTGCCGCTTCTTTGTCAAACACAACTCCGTTGACTGCAAAGAGAATGTCATCATTTTCAATTAATGATCACAGATATTGCACTTCATTAGTATGTATGAGTTTACACGCCGTGCCGCTGCCCTGTAAGTCTATAAATTGTGACATCCTCATGCCAATTTTCTCATTGCACGGAAAATCATAAACCAGTTAAGCTTAGTTCACAATAGCGACGCAACGACACAAGAAGGACGTTATGCAGTTATGTTTGCAGTGCGAACATCCTGACATAATGAAATAGTAGCCACACAACAGCATGAACATAACGACGTAAGGAAAAAAACCCCGATATTCTTCCTCGTCTTTATCTCGATGTTAACATTACTGACATAAGCAATTATTTCGTTCTGTCATTATGCGATATGTTGCTAGAGTGTGAACCAGGCCTAAGTCCTTGAAGCGGCACGGAGGTCGCAAGATAAATGGCAAATTATCACGAGCGGCGCGTGGTACTGGGTCGTGAGATTTCAATTGGTTGGAAACCTTACAGTGGGCCTGTCAGTGTCAATCAAAGACGTACCCCGAAACGTACATGCGCAACATCATGATAGAGGCCCTACAAAACCGTGTCCACACATATCCGTTTTTCGTCCACTGTTGCGTCTGTAAACGCATACAGATTTTTTTTGTCCACACGAATTCGGTGATCGTTAACGTCGATCGTTTAATAAAATATTGAGCATGCGCAAATTACATGACGTCACGTCCGCCTTTTACGAATATAAACAGAAGATTTCTCCGATTTTCATCAACCATAGCTGTTGACTCAACAGGGACCACTTGAACATTATTGTACCCAGGGTAAACTTTAACTTATTACCTGGAACCTCCAAACTTATTACATGCCTGACAGTTTCCCCGCCAGCATCGGTCGCTTGGCACACATAACTACCGCCATCTCGGTGGCGAGGTCTCAAAACAAAGCTCAACATCCTGTTTTGCGCACGCGCAATCATCTTCCTGTCTCTGCTGATGCTGACCTGCACTGGAGGCTCACCTCCGTGCAAAACGCACCTCAACTTGATAGCCATGTTGGGGGGCGAAAATATCTTGCTGGAACTTGACATTGATTGGTCAAGTGTCAGTGGCTCTGAAAGCAATACGAACACTTCAATTTAGGGTATTCGAGAAAGTGTTTACAGTTAATCTCAAGATTTGTTGAGCAACTAACTAAGAGCTAATACTGAAATAAATTCGTCCATTACATTCGTTGTTCGTTCTAAAACTATTAAAAGGTAATGAAAATTTCTTTTTCTGAAACTTTCGCTTGCAATCAAAAGAGAGATCACTGTAAAATCTTAGCTCGAAATACACTCTACGAGCAAAGGTGATATAGACTACATGTGAATCGTCTGTTCCTTTGTGTCGTCGTGCGAGAAGGGAAAAAGAGGTAAGGTCCAAAATGGCTATCGAGTACTAGCGCGTCTTACCCCCTAGTATTTTGCGAAACTAGTTTTGTTCTCGCTTTCTTTTCGCCTCTCGCTGGACGAGATGAAGGAAAAGCAAGACTGCTAGTACTCTGTTATGTAGTGGGTGTGGTCTTACAATCTGGATTTTTACTTGATGCAGTAAGTGAGCAATCGTTTGGAAAAAGTGCTCTCGCTGATTGACTAAATAATTAACAATGACGCTCAAATAGAACTGTAATCATGGTAAACAATGGTTTGCTGAGAGTTACTGTAAGGTTGGGGTTAGGATGACATCCACTACACCGTTTGCGAGATGTAGTCGAAATATACATCGACTTGCAACGACATGTTATTGCAAATAACGACTACTTACCCAGTGATTTAAGAACTGTTTTCCCACCTGAGCGAGTTATCTCATAACGACAAATAAATGGAAAGTACATATCGGGCAGATACGTGATTCTGAACCCAGGTGGTCGCTTCTCGCGGGCAATAAACATGTTACGAGACTCCAACACAAACTTATTCTTCCAGAGTGTGTTGGTGCCACATCCATAGAGCGGGGCCTGGATCCGGATTTGCATGTCAGTGACATTGTACGCAGTGCAGTTTGATTGGATAAGATTCATGTGGAGTGACCCTGGAACTAGCCATGGGTACACGAGTCTGTTCAAGGCCACATCCATGTATTGACCTTTACACGTCACTGTTACCCCTGCTGACGTCAAGTCATTGGGTCCTGAAATTATAAAAGAAGTACTGAACTGTATCGAGGGCTTTTGGCGGGAAACACGGTTGTGTACAACTCGTGGAATGCCGCCAAATATGGAAGACGTTTGTATCTGTCTGATTGGCTGCATTTATATCGAAACCATGACTTTGTTGACGTTTTTCGAAAGCTAATTTATTCCGGCTATGTTGCTGTAACAATTTTAACACGAAATTTCAATGGGAGCCCGACGCGCTGAAACAGAAGATTCCAAAAAATGAAAATAAGACCTGAAAAGCAAAATACTGAACTGGAGGCAAAGTAACAGTTGTTATTTCAAGGTGACCTACTTCAGGTCGTTAATACGACGTTAGGGTGTGTTCCTTTGGGTGTGTTCATTCGGATCAGGATCATTGATCCAGGATCACTCAGATCATGGTGTATCAAAGAAACCGATGAATCTAGTCAAGGCAAGGATTCATCGGCTCCTGTGATCCATCATGATCTGAGTGATCTTGGATCATTGATCTTGATCCGGATCGTCGATCCCAAAGGAACTCTTAGAGGATATCACACGTTCTCTGAGAAGTGCCTTACCTGTCTTTCGAAGATTGATTCTATACTTCACTTGGTTTCCTTTAGCGTCCGTCGCCATGCACTGATACGAGCCAAATGCTGCCCAATGATTGGTCTTTACAGTACCGTACAACACCTTTCCCCTGACTACTACCCCGTCAGTCAACCTCCTCCCTCTCCTGGTCAGTGTGATGTTGACGGGAGGGTGTCCACCTTTAAACGTGCAAATCAGTCTGGTGTCAAATTTCTTGTAGGTTTTAACAACTGGTGGACTGCTCTTGGATTTAACCAGGGTCAGTGGCTCTGTGGCAAATAAAAGCAAATTATGATTCATTTAATTCGTTTCGAGCTATGACCATTGCTAATGATCCCTGAAGACAGTGCGCAAATTACAGCATTTTCTATTTTAATCATTTCTGATCAAAAAGCAATCCCTTTTGATCATAAAACCCCACCTAATTCTATAAAGAGAACATTTTTAACCGACAACTAATGTTTTGAAAGATAAGAGACTGGTCAGATAATATCAAAGAAAAATTGCTTGGAGAGTAATTGATATACGCTAATTGCAGTACATTTTATATCCGTCTACTAACTTGTAAAAAAGGAGCTGGACCAGTACTCTCCAATACGAACGGCTCATAACACTGGCTCTTTAACAAACTTTAAATTGCTAAACCTCGGCAAGAAGTGTCACAATGTTGAGCATAGCTAGTATCTGAGTTGAGCAACTTTGTTGGACAGTATAGTGAGGCAAGATCGTTGGCCAGATCAAAAGGCTCTTAATTTATGGGAACAACAAATTTCATTATACAAAGTTTAAAGACAATCGATGAAAAATGTCATTGGAACCAACTCTTGAACAAGGTTTGGAACACTCAAAGAACTACGGCAAATTGCTCCATTCTCCATTACCTTTTGGATTGCTCGTCTTCGACGAAACCGACGTCATTTTCTTGGCATCAAAGCGACACTGAAAAGGAAAAAAAGCATCCGGGACTCTGGTGATCACTTGCCCCGGTTGGAATCTCACAAACGCCATCAAGATGTTGCCATAGATGACGCCATCGGCTGTACTCCTCCTTGATGTCTTGCATTCCCCGTATGTAGTTTTCACTATAATGTGCGTGAAATTCACGTGGAGAAGTCGGCAATTGTTGTCTAGGAGATGCATGTCAAAGTACTTTGGGTGTAACCATGGATACGTCATACGATTCAGTGTCAGCTGCATTTCATCGCGCGTGCAAGAGATGTCTCTACCACCGAGTGAAATGGAAGATGGATCTATGAAAGCAACAAGCACGGGTGTAACTAAGGATATTTTATGTTCTTAATGGAGCTCAGTCACGGTATTTTGAGTTGTATCGAATTGGCGCTGCATGGAATTACCATTAAATTGAAAGAATCCTTAAAGTAGTAGTTTACTAAGACAGAAAAACACCAAAGAGATAATAATAAACCGTGAAGGAACAAGGATGGTTAAGGATGGGGAAGATTGACACGGATTAAAAATAAAAATAGGCTAAACTTTTCAATGTGCGTGAACTGTGGCCTAGCTCCTTTAAAAAACCCATTCATCTTTTGCAGTAATTGGTATCATCTCATTTGTATAATTTCTATTCAAGTCAAGAAATAACCAAAGGCAAAAAAGTAACAACAACAATAATCCGGGCGTCGATCATAAGGGCGTTTTTATCTGTAGGTTATAAAACGTTTTAGCCTCCATGTCTCATACAGACGAGTGATCAGTGGAAAGGAGCTAGGCCACAGTTCACGCACATTGAAAAGTTTAGCCTATTTTTTTCAAGTTCGTCGTTTGTAATCCGTGTCATTCTTCCCCATCCTTAACCATCCTTGTTCCTTCATGGTTTATTATTATCCCTTTGGTGTTTTACTGTCTTAGTAAACTACTTCTTTCCCCCAACTCTTGACATCACACTACAAAAGCAACCCAGTATCATCATCATCATCATCATCAACATCAACAACAACATGCACAGCATCGACAACAACAACAACAACAACAACAACAATAGCTTAAGGATGATCGTACCAATTATTCTTAACTCGATGTTGTACGTTATTTTCTTGTGGTTCGCATCTTCAGCCAGGCAAGTGTACAGGTCATATTCCTTGTTCAGAAGTTTGACAGTAGCTGTGACCGTTTGTGAGTTATTGTCCTGTTTGGCCACAATTTTTCCTTGATGAGTGATCACAGCTCGTACGGGATGGGCGCCATACTTGAATGCACACCTTAGCTCAACTGGTAACCCATAATAAGTCGGGACCTCCTCGGGACTTGTGCGCATTTTATCCAGTTGTAGAGGAGCTGGAAAGAGACAGCAATTCGGTGAAAAGTTTGTCCAAGTTTTCATAAGAGGAGTAAGGAAGGCGTAGTGATGATGGCGCTCATACCCACCCGGAGGTTTGGGGGTGGGAGGGGGGGGGGGACTCTCCTGTGAAAAGGTCGGGGATGCTTGTCGAACCATTTGAATTAAACCCCTAAAGGAGAACAATCTGAGCGAGCCTCGAGCTTTATTTAACTCCTAAAAGATACCACTTTACCTTCCCTCCCCGAAATGTAAAGCGCTCAGGGAAACAATGTATAAGCAATGTATAAGTGCTATCTTATCTCAGAAGAATAGATAGTTTTTCTTTGGAATATGACGAGCATGACATGAAAACCGGCATTAAAGCAAATACCGACAGCCAGATATCAGTTTTTCAAACATTGATGTCATTTTCGATCACATGCGCCAAAATCACCCAAGCTTGTGGTTGGCACAAGCAAGTGCAATCTTCCCGCGGGGGCGAGTACTTGACCCATATTTGGGTATAAGGGTACCGTTGAGGGTTTGAAATCCTGACCCTGTTTAGGACAAAAACACTCTAAATCCCTACCCTGTGTAGAACAACACCCTCTATTTTAAGACCCTGTTTAGGACAAGAGACAAAATACACTCTCTCTTGCTTTACAGGAATTTAAACTGTTTAATAAGCCATTCCGATCAGCGAAATCATGTTTGATGCATCTAAAACCCAGTTATTGCGTCTCTACGCGGAACGAAACAAACGGCCATCAAGCATTAAGCTCTAAATTCTTTAAATTAAGGGATACCGACAACAGTAGCATTCTTGTCCAGAAAATGATCTGATGTTGATTGATGACCTTGTAATGACCGGTTAACGTCTCTCGGCTCGTAATAGCATACCTTGTTTAGGACAGGTTCTGACCCTGTTTAGGACAGAGGCGAGTAAAATTGTAAACCCTGTTCAGGACAGCGAGGTCAAAAAGCATACCCTGTCCAGCGGCACTTCCCCGTTTAGTCCAAATAAGGGAGTACCCCACCCCCACTCGGGGAAATCTTTGGATGTGGTTGAATTTCCAACACGATTTTCGGTATGTGCCAGCATTCGAATTTCCTTCAAGCTGTTACTATGAAGCAATTTTATGTTGTTCTAAGTAAAATATTAAAATCCACTTCGGTGATTCACAAGACAATTCCGAAACAACAGATTTTTGATCGTAACATGCCGTAAAACAATCCACGATGCAGTCATCCGAAACTTCTAATATTTTTTCCATGCGACTGGAAAAAGCACCTCAAAATTAGTGTTTTGGCCAAGTTTCAGAACAAAGTCTTGAATAGAAGTGAAGCGACAGTCGATTGAAAAACACTCGATCTTCATATATTTCCCTTATTGTCGTCACTTTCGCGTTGCTCGGGACGTCACAGATGTATTTTCTTTCATACGTCACGCAACGCAAGAGATACAGAACTAAGAACAAAGAACAGCTTTGTAAAACCTCACATGAAAACCGAAAATATCAAACCCTGCCAATTTACAGAAACATCTTACATGTTTTAAATTTTGTGTATAGTAGGTCCACATCAGCCCTTCGGCTACCAACCCCTTTTTCAACCTACTTATCAAATAAAGTTTATCTTATGTTATCATACCTAAACCTTTATTTAATTGTCTATGTGTTTAGCCTAGATAGAGTAATTGGGGACACTAGTAAAATAGCAACACTAATTGACATACGGTACTTATAAAACTTGAATATTTACAGGAAAGTGATAAAAACGTAATGAGTATGAAAGTTCCTATGTTAGCTTATGTACAAGGTAAAATTGTACTTATAGCAATCAAGTAACATCGGTTTGATTTGAAAGAAAAATGTTGCGTAGATCGAAGGCCATGAAATGAGTTTTGCTAATTGAATATTGACATAAATTGACATGATTCACAGAAGTCATAAGTTCGCCGATGGCTTGTAAGGGAGATAATTGTTTAAAAGTCGGAACGATAGTTTTAATTTTTCTGTAAAATTCATCTCTTAGGGTAGAGTATTTAATGCAATGCCTATGAAAGTGTGATTCCGCTTCAATTTGATTAGATTCTCAAACAGGATGGAGTCTTATAACCCTTGGAATTTGATCATAGTTACCAGTTGTGTTTGCTTATCCTAAATTTCACTAGTTCTTTTCGTTCGTTTAGATTGCTTGTCAGGCCTAATTAAGAGGAAGGTGTATAATCGTTCTTAGAAGTGTTGAAAAATTCTACCTTATTACACTATTGCATGGTATGTTGCCAGGATAAAATATAGTTTTGTTGTATCAGGCTAACATTATGTCTGATTTTAACGTTAGTTAAGAACGTAAGGTCATGGTGTGTCAGCTTGATTCATCTACACACTGCATATTACAATATTCCTAGTGGTTAGGTCAGCCATGGACAAATTTCGAATGAGAATAGGCCCTTTGCAGCTGGGGTCACGTGACCAAATTTTTCCCAAAAAATTTTTGTATTATGGGCTATAACTAAAAGAATGCCAGAAATGGAAAGAGCGCATCGAAAATACCA